ATTGAATATGATTTTCTAATTAGGGTAGGGCGGGACACAAAGGACCAATTTGACTTTGAATAATTATATTGCGAAAACCAAACTAATTATATCATATCAAGTAACATATATCAAACAAACAACTATCTGACCATATTCAGTACAACTCTCAGCTAATTCATAATTGTAGTATTTTTTGCTGTTCATCAAAAACCAAAAATTTAACGAAAGCAAAAACTTCTGTTGTGGATGACGTTCACATTCCGATAGCTACGTCACAAGAATCAAGTTGATGGCTGGATATACATTTGTTTCCCTGTACTTTTTAATATTGTTGTTAATAAGTTTTAACTTTACTTAGAGATATTGGTGGTAAACACTTTTACCCGATGACCTATAAGCTCTGCTCTACTCTTCTTGAAAAACTTGAAATATTGTGAATCTTATACTTATTGATTAAAAAAAATTAGACGAAAGAAGGCGAAAATTAGGCGAAGAAATTAGACGAGAATGACTTTATTGCATTTGCATCAATTTTTTAAAGTATGCTATAATAAAAAAAATTGGTCTTTAAACGTTAGATATAAAACTATTATGTATATGAGAAGTGTAAGTAATAGCAAAAAAAGGAATATTGACGGTTATAGTTTCTATGAAGAAATCGTCAAGAAAAGTCAACGTTTCACGAGACTTTGAATATTCAATCGAAATCATTTTCCTCTAACATTTTTCTATTTGGCTATTTAAATCACCTAAGGAATCTATCACCCGTCAACAATATTCGCATTTCCTCGATTCCTTTTAATACTATTTGAATGCTATCATAAAGATTTACGACTGGATCACATGCAATAATAAAGAACCAATCATCGACACTCATATTTCTCGATAGAAGAACGCGTCTATGTGGTCATAAATATCCTTTTTTGGCTTGTGAGGAATGAACCCCGCAAAAGCCGTAAATCAGGATTACGCTCAACCGGGAGAGCGCCTTCTGGCCGGGGTAGCACTTTAATAACGTCCTTAGAATTTTCACGAACATTCCACGTGCTCCTTATAAACGCTGGAAGATCATTTACACGGTTTTAGGTAAATGACGGTGATCATTGCTTGGAATTTTGAAAAATTGACATTTAAGTCGAATATATTTTCTTGTAAAAATGGCCTTTTCAAGCATTTCTGCAAGGTAGAGTGAAGCTTTAAAGGTCCGCGAGTAAAAAGGTTCACCATCATAATCTCACAAGAATAGCATAGAATTTAATGATACTGTTTTAAAGTAAAATGCAATAGACGTGTATCCAGGCATATCTTATGCTTAAATTCTTACGATGTCGTTATCAGGGATGAACAGCCGTGTATTAATATTTAGAACAAATGTATGTTTTTTAGTTGGAAGATTTTTTTGGTTTTGAGCTTTTTTATTTAGGTAATATTCATAAGTGTGCGGGCGTCCATTAATCACGTGATCGATTTTTTAAATATTTTTGGACCCTCCCTCTCTCTCCCTAGGTGATACGTGGTGATATTCAAAATCACCCCCCTCCTCCACCAAACATCACATGTATTTTAGTTACGAGAAAAAATTAAAATATAAAATTTTTGATTTTTTTTGAAAATATTTGGATTTATTTGGAAAAAAATATAGATAAAAAATAAAACAAGTAATATCTTACTATACCCCTTCCTCCCCCACATGATATTTTGTGATTTTTTGTCAAAACAATACCCCTTCCTCCCCCTAAAAACCTCACATGATTAATGGACGTCTCCTAAATGTTATTTAATTGTTTCATAAGTTGTATTTTTATTTTTAAGTTTAGATTCTACAGTTTTTTATGACCTCTTTAAGCTCACATGTGGGTAGGGTATAAAGGCCTAACTAGGTTATAGTTATTCCAAGCTTGCTTGGGTGAATATTTCTGACAAAATACCATATCAAGGTTAAATATTTCGCATTGGTTGAATAATGTAGCTATCATTTTGTAAAAACTTTTTAAAAATAAAATAAAAATATTGGATCGGTTTGTCCCCTGGCTGCCCTTTGTGACCCAGCCTATGTAGTAAAAATGGACATGTAGCAAATTTTAGAGAAATAGTAAAAAATCATATTACTGTAATTAGGAATTAAATAAGTATCATAGTTATAGTTGTTTGTTGAACTCGTGTTATCAGTTGTGATGTAGTTCATTTGGTTTAGTCAGTATTGACTGAAAGTCAAAGTGGACCTTTGTGCCCCGTCTTAGCCTGTTATTAAATGCCTTTTAATAGCGTTAAAAATTAAATTAAAATATAAAGATCAGATTGTAAGAATAATCATTGGATTGCTTTCTAATAGCGTTCATAAAAATAATAAACCCACAACAACAGCACCTACTTTTGATTTCTGTTCGAAACAATTGAAGTGGATTTTCTGGTCAAACGGTTGAAATTTTTTTTTAATAACTCTAACAGACTTTTTTCCCCCAAACTGCATTTTGTGTCCCAAATACCTAGGCAATAAAAATATCATTTACAGATAAACGAAAAACAGCATAAATATTAAAGCAGTAAGAACCGAACATGCAGTAAATCAGTCCTCAAAATAAAGACATATGGCTCTGTTGTAGGACATGAAAATGTTTTATAAAATTTATGAGTATAAATAAATAAGATGAGATTAAATGTAGATGGTAAAACATTAGAAATATTGGAATATCCTACATTTACTTCTTGGAAAATACTTTTGTCTTAAGGGTTTCTTGCAATGAAATCGAATCCTTATAATTTTGCAACTCTCCCTTCTGATTGTCAAACACTCTTTTATGATTCAAGAACTCAAATATATTACTTATAATGATAAGGCAAAAGAAAATATATCGCATAGATGATTTGTAATGATTGTATAGTCATATTCACATTTTTGTGTATTTTCGTGAAAGGGAACTGAAAACAAATTTATTTTTGTTTGTGGTGAAATTTTTTATAATGCAAGAAAACATAGTTTAAATTGAACAAGTAGTTTTTTTTCTTTTGTTATTACATATTACTTTTTATTAAGTAAATATATTTATTTATGTAAGAGCATATAGAAAACTGCGAGCAGCTAAATATTAAAAAAATAATAATTTAAGAAATATTTTATACAAATTACGAACTGAAAAACACAAGTCGATTTTCTGTTATAAGCTTTGATGAGTTAGATTTATTTTGAACTTTTGCCAAACAGATGTGCCAAAGAAGACAATCGAAAGTTTAAATACGATTATTCGATTATTTGTTGTTTTATATTTAGATGTAGTATAGTTTGATGAAATAACTCTTTAAAACAAATATTATATAACATTTTATGCGCGTGAATTAAAAAATAGAATATCGACAATTATATGTACTATATATACGAATAACAATACACATATAGAAATAAATATACAGTATTTGCAGTATAACTGAAGATATTGATACGTTTTTATGTTGTTAAACAAAAACTATTTACCTATTTAAAGAGTACCAATATTTATGCATAGGAAAAACGTACGAAATTAAAATATGGATAGAAGCTATCGTTTATATATAATATTAATTTTATTTGTTGCACCAAATCAGTATCATAAATTATAATCATTATTGTATTATTGTAATCTCTGAAGGCGAATATAATGAAAAAATAGGCAGTAGATTGGGTTTCATCAAATCTCAGATAATTCATGCTAAATTTATAATGATCGAGCGTTGGCGCACAATTGTTCTGTCCTAAGTGATGATTGTAAGCGACATTTAGATAAATCTGACAACAGTGCAACCTTGAATAACCTTGAATAGGGGGCCGACTATGATCTTTTTTCAAGCATTTTTATCTTTCCTACCTCTTGGTGAAGTGTGGTGATATTTATAATTACTCTCCATCCCCACCAAACATCTCATATAGTTTTAGCAAATGAAAACGTATCTTTTTTGTAAAATTTTGGAATATTTTCGAAATTTTTGGAAAAATATTTTAAATTTAGGTAAAAAATAAATACACGTGTTATCTTGCTACAAAACTCCTACCGCTTGTTATATTTTTTTTACACTTCTCTTCTTTTATAGCATCAAATGATTAAAGGCTGACCCCTAAAGACACGATGGTCTTCGATATGTATAGAGGGTCAAAGTGATGCTCATATTTAGGGGACAATTCTCGGATAAAATAGAAATATTATGTTATGGGTCTATAATGGTAAGAGTTGGTAGTCATGAACTGTCAAAAAGTTATATAATTGCTATGCGAACAGGCGGTTTTCCACATAAAACCTAACCTCCAAAATGCACAACCGTCAGAATATTAACTTTGGTTACATTTCACGTATGTGTCATCAAAATTACATCAGATAATTGCACTTATGAAAAACTTGTTATTTGACATTTGTACCTGGTGGAGGTTGTACCTGGCCTAATCGCACATCAAACATTTAGCTTTTTGACAGCTCGTATCTACCAACTCATAAGATTATAGACCCGTAACAAAAATTTCTGTTTTATCAGAGAATTGCTCCTTTAAAGTGACTATGAAAACTAATTTCAGCCAAATGTTTCGTCGTAAAAAATCTAACAGCCATCGTGTCCTTAGGGGTCATTCATTGTCTATTTCACAAACTCTATTTTTTAAGTAAATTAACATATTTATTTATGATAAATTTCATGCGTCTAACTATATATATTACTATGTCGACTTGCATTACTTCACGATCTTACTTTATATTTATCCATACGCACGCAGTATTTATGTGACCCACATAGACTTGGCAACATATTTCTGATTAATGATCTCAAATGGGTAATTGATTTTAGCAATGCCTGGTCTTGGATTATATAGGCCATAAAAATTAAAAAAAAAAAAAAAAACTTAAATCCAGAACGACTTGATTACCAGTTGCTTTTTTCGGCGTAGCTCAAACTATATTCCATTTCTATCTATTATAATTACCTTTTATTAAAAGAATATTTCATTTTACGTATCAAAATTTATTAAATGATATAATGACATGATATAAATAATATAATTTTCACGAAGGTCTACAGACTCTGTATCTCTGTAAATATTCTCTTCCGTCCGATGTCCGATTGAGTCTTCGGTAGCAAGGCATGTTCCCGTGGGCGTTGATCAGCATGTAATCGTCACAATCCGTCACTTGGTCACCGTTACAATCCTGTAATAACGGAATCGTATTGATTGATTGAAAAACCAGTATTGAGATAAAACTCTATAAAAATATCTAGTTACTTCTAGTTGCTTCAGAATTGGTCTTTGATTTGATTGAAAGCAAAACCAGATTTTTTTTATATTATCAACGCATAGAAATACATTAGGATGAATTCTATGAAAGTATTCACAAAAGAATAATGAAAAAAGTGTTTTCATGTGATTAAACAGATATTCGAGTTTTTAATAATTACATCAAGGCTGGCTTAAAAAATTAACCAATCCTTAAAGATAAATACGTTAAACACGATTTAAAAATATTTAAATCAAAGTATTATAATATAATTTAGGAAATATACTAAATTAAAAAATAACTTGTTAGTATTACTAAAAATTTCGTAAACATTTCAATTATTTAAAAAAATATTTTTAATTAAAAACCTAACTTTATTTCTATATTAACAGCTGTTAATGTAGAAATACAGTTTATTGTCATCCGGGTAGCTTGTATCGATATTTTTTTTATTTTTATTATCTCTTACTCACAACTGTCCAGTAAAGGACATTCAATAAATTTGATGAATTTACAATAGTCGGCCGAAAAGGGACATTGTATACTACAAGGGCATGTTGGAAAAAACAACTCAGTAGTTGTTTTTCCATTCGATATAAAATTCACAATATTTTATTGATAATTATATAATTTTAACTATTTACTTATTAAATAATTTCTTATAAATAATGATTAAGTTATTTCTATTGTATTAATTTAACTCAATTTATTAATTCAGAATAAACTGATTAGGTACTGTACCTATATGCTATCGAATTTCTTAAAATATTCTAAAGTCTTGAAATAAGATTTTATTAAAATGCAATAATTAAAATAACTGTCATTTGTTTTCTCTATTTTACGTAACTTGCTCAAACTTATTAATATAAAATCGATTGATGATTATTTATACTAATAGATCCATTTTCTTTGTATGTGGCTTTGGATCCTAGTATTATTTGGAATTAGATAATTTACTTAATTGATTGTTTTAATAAAATGAAAGATTGCGTTTGGCACATATAGTTACATATATTTATCAACATTCTGTTCATTCATAAATCGTATTATTATAATATAATGATGAATAATTTGATATATTTCAATATTATTGCTGGATATCAAAAGTTTGAAATTTACTGGCATCACAATGCCTTTCTTCTGCAGCCTTTTGTACATTATTTGCTTTTCATAGATTTTACAATCCCAAAAAAGTTGATCTATTGTTTCAGATTTCTTACCTCACTGGCATGTAGTATTTTGCACATTCCGATCTTTCAGAAAATGGTCTTACTGAATGTGCATCCAAATATTATTTTCGTTATAGTTGACAAAAGTATGAAATTTATTGGCAACACAATGCCTTTCTTCTGCAGCCCTTTTGTACATTATTTGCCTTTATCTCTCATAGATTTTGTATTCCCAAAAAATATAATCTATGGTTTCTGATTCTTTACCTCACTGATATATAGTGTTTTGCATATTCCATTCCTCCAGAAGTATGTGGTACTTAATGTGCGTCCAAATATTTTAACGTCTGTTATACTTTTAAACCCAAGTTGTTTATACTAGGTTTGCTTTTGTTACTACATATGATATTCTTTACTTCACTCTTTACTTACTTAAGACTTAAAAACTCTTTCTGCCAAATATAGTCCAGTCATTTAAACTTAAATTAAATAAGAATCTCGGAATTCAAGACACCCAGATGTAAGTTTGTAAATACTTGTATTTTGCACCCCTAAAAGTTGTCTCAAAACCTACATATGGTAGGCTGTATGCAACATATGTAGGTTTTGAGACAACTTTTAGGGTGCAAAATACAAGTATTTACAGACTTACAGCTGGGTATCTCGAATTCCGAGATGAACTTACTATAATGACTGGACTATATAATAGATTTACTATGAGATTAAATAAGTCTGAATAATAGTATTTTTATGAATCTATTATTAAATTTTCACATTGAACACAATAGAAAGAAGAATTTGAGAGAAAATGTCATATGGAGTGCTAGCAAAATATATAACGAATTACCAAACGATATTAAGATGACCAATGATGACGATAAATTTAAAAGAAAAATAAAGAAAAACTATCAGGAAATTGAAGACAAAGAAGACTGAAGAGTTTATATAAAAAGATTTTAAATGAAATATTTTCTTATTCAGATTCCAGGATAGAGCTAATTATATATAATATATATTTTAACAACAATAATGAGGCCGTATGCATTTTAATCAATACTTTATAACAAAATCATCTTTACCTGGCCATGAATTTCCATATACGTTATGACAACATATTCCGCGCATCTGTAATCGCCAGCGCAGTCCGTAAAGTCCGGTTCGCCGCCAGTGGTGCGCAACCCTGGCCTTGGCGTTTCAGGTGTAGGCCGTCCTGCATCTTTCCACTGGCCATATGACAATCGAAAGGGCCCACAGCGTCCATCAGATGAACACTCGTACGGTGACGCTAGATTGCACCCAGAAGCTGCATGGCATAAACATCGTAGGCAATCGCGGGATAGATTTGTCAGAAAAGGACGAGCTGAAATAAATATATTTTTTTTATTCATCGTCAACCAATCAGAGCTTCTTAAAATATTGTTACAAATAATAAAACATAAAATGAACAAAAGTAGAAACTGTTCCAGAATACAATTTGCTACTGAACTAGATTTTGAATCAGATTAAATGTCTATAATATAGACAAGATAGAGACTCTATATCTTGTTGTTGAACATTCTTAAATGAGGCATTCTCGAACATTGGCTTTAATGACAATCAAAATTAATGTGATGATTGATACTGCTCTTCTTAATGACGCCCATTATGAAAGATATTTTGTGTTGGTCGATGATTTCATTACTAACGAATCATAAAACATCCGTAATCACTATCTATAATTAAGATTCCATACATGCGATGAGACTACCTTATGTCATATGTCCTAATGTAGTTGATTTTGAGCAACTTACTATTGTAACAAGCTCTAGTTATGGTAACCAATGAACCTCAACGTAAACTATCATACAATTTAAATATTTTCTGATTTCAATCAAAATGAGTTCTGATTTTTTATCAATTTTAGATCAAGATGCAACCAACTCAACTCAAAATGCAAAAAGCAATGATAAATTAACACTGGCTTTGATTTCATTTTTTTGAAACCTCTTGAACTTATGAACTAATCATCGAATTGTCATGAAGTTTTGACAGATTTTAATTAAAGTTGGTCTTCTTACAAATCATATGGATGATTACATAGCAATGCTATCTATGTGTCATCCTATGCACTTATTGAGTGTTGTAATATATTCATATTGCTAGACGTTTCTGGTCATAGTAGACAATTTGATGGGGTATCATGATATTTGCTCTGACGCAAATTTTGCCTTATTTCGTAATTACCTTTATGGTTTTATTTGAAGAATAAAATGAGCTTTCATAATGCTGAAATAAATATACTTCGTTTTCTCTGTATTTATTGTTAGTTTGTTTTTCCGTTAGTCACGTTGTGTAGGTTTTTAAATCACCGTTTATTTTTTGTTCGAGATTTTTTCGGTTTTTATCTGCGTATATTATCATTGTATCGTCTTCGTACACTATGTATCTACCTATTATGTTCTTTTCTTTTAAGTTGTTAATATAAATTAGATATAATAGTGGTCCTAGAACAGTTCCTTGTGGCACTCCGCATTTAACCATTTCCTTATAACTCGCACAATTAAAATAAATGAAAACTGCTTTGAAATTAGTGATTAACAAAAATTAAACGATTGTTTGTTTTCGGCTCTTATACTTAAATGAAGATTTAACCCGTAATGATACCTCTGAACGATTTTTATTCTATTTTTCTCTCAGTTACTCATTCAAAATGTTTAATCTGCTGGATTTATTAATTTTTAAATAAAAACATTTGTTATTGAAATAAATAGTGAAATTCTTTCTTTCTTGTCATTTCTAAATTACACCATAATAAACCTTTCCCCTTGGACAGATACATACCAAGAGTGCCTCCAATTCGGCCATTTATGTCAAAATTAATTTACCATCACATGTCTCATGTAAACATCATAATTAGCAACATCTAAAAGAAGTTCTAAATATAAATAGAAAGAAAAAGTGTAAGACGTTATGGTTTTTGAGGTGTGAAGAAAGAATGAATTCGATGTATCTATAAATAAACCACAAAAATGTTGCTGTAACACTATTTTCACCAACAGTATTTGTGCCAATAATAAACTTGAAATTTATTGTGTAAAGACAGAAGGATTTATAAAGGAAAAATCGAAGGTTGATGATGTTAAGTTTTCAAAATAATAGAGTAGAATTTAATATTATTTGAAGTTGAAAAAGAATAAAATGTAGTTTGTATGAATGAATGATGGAATTTGCAAGTGTTTTTAGGAGAAAATGGATCAAGCAATTGAATCGTATAAAAATGTTTCGAATTGTGATAGACATAACACAACTATTTAATGATTTTTATAAACAAATTTAAAAGTATCCTCAGAATTGCAACCGTCTTTCATTTTTTGTACAGTATTGATAAGCATTTGTTTTAATATTGAGATTTGTATACTTGTACTTGGAGCGACATATTTCAAGTTTTTTTCTTTCCGAATAGATTTTGTCACTATGTGCATGTGTATAATATTCCTATCTCACATAAATATATTAAATTTGAATAAGTGTCACCTACAATTTTACCTTCGCCATCATGACCATGACCATGATTGACCATGCCATTCACCACCAGTTATATTTTGGCTAACTCAATTGTTAAAGTTCTAAGAAGGTATTTTCGTTAATAAATCAAAATAAGATAGCAATAGATGTTTTTGAAATGTTTAAACCTCATTTTGTATTTTGGAAGTTTTTTGGCGAGTATGATTATTCATGAATTTGAAGCACTTATTTCGATTTAAATTGCTTTAATCTGATTTCGTATCCCATATAAATCGTGCTAATGATCATAATATTTTGATTCACGATTTAACAAAACCGATTCGACCCAAGTATCGCATTTGAATTGCAAAATTGTCAATAACGTTTGGCTTTCTATGCACGCATATAGTTATTCAGTTTATATTGCAAACACATGCTTCGCGAATATTTAGAATATAATTTATTTTGCGACTAAAATATCTCCTGCAACGAGACTCACATAAAGAAAAGTTGAAAGTTCATAACTCTTGAGTTTGTTGACTCTATTTTCTGTACTTGTTTTTATATATAATTTAGTTTATTAAGTTTACTATTAATATATTAATAGTAATAATAATATATTTTTCCGAATCCTTTTGGACGAATTTTGTAAAAAGTGTGTGGGTGCATGCATGTGTATATGTAGATAAGTAATTTTTTTACCTGTTGTCGACGTTTTCCCTCAACCTTAATATTAGAATTTTAAAATAGTTAATTTAGTGGTTTAATATAATATATGCCACTTCTTTTATAATAAAATTGAATATTTTATTTGTTCATTTATATAGAATGCCGTTTCTTCATACATTGATTTTCAATTTTATCACATAATTATTTATTTGTACTATACTTTATGTCGCTTATTCTATTAGTTATATTATTAAACATTTGAATTCTTTTATTTGTTTAGAATTACTTTTCTTTATTTAACGATTTTCAAATTTATCCCGTAATTACTTATTTTTGCTTCAAATATTTTAGAACTCTTTAGATTTTATTTTCTTAAGTATTTGTATATTATGTTATTTTTTCAAATATTTTGTGAATTTCAATTTGTTTCAAAAATATTGAGGTTCAAAGAAAACGGAAAAGTCTAAAAATGTAGAAATTAAAAAAAAATTAATATGTTGCTTTAAACTTAAAAAAAATATTAATAACTTGCTTTAAGTTAAAGCAATGTATCATCAACTTTGCAACTACTTCATCTTTTAACCTTTCTTATGGACTTTCTAAAAGACTTTCTTAAAGCCTATAACCAATTACAAATTCGGTTCTATATTCGCATGGTCATCTTCAACTCCAATATAAAATACTTTGTATCGTCGTGACTTTTTAATATGATAATTTTTGGTGAAGTGTTGCTACAATATACAATTATCTCTTATTTTTTTACCTATTGCGGTTATTATTTCAAGAGACCAGGGTTTTGGACAACCTGGTGTCAAGCAGTATTGATTTATGTATATATCCATTTGCACTTGAAATATAAATCATAATGTTTCCAGTCTAAATAGCCTTTTCTGGAATTGCTCCAATAAAATTTATAATCAATATCAGAAAGGGCAACTATTGGTTATCTTTTAATTAAGGTGACCATACGTCCTTGTCAATCCCGGATCTTGGTCTTTCATAAAACTATATTTGTCCCGAATTTAAGTTTTTTTCCTGAATTGTCCTATGTTCTCGAAAAGTGTAGAATTAAATTTAATTTTTGCAATTACTTGATACATAATAAAATTACATAATCAATCATCATATTTTAGTTATTTAGCATGAAGCTCAAGCTCAAGCTACAAGTTGCTGTCCCGGTTTTGACATAAAAAATGTTCATCTTACTTTTGATATGTGTTATATCAAATAGATAGAATAATCATTTGGTTGACTTTTAAGAAGTCATATATTGAGGAGTATGATTGAAGCTGTTAACTTGCAAACCTGTTAGATCTGGTTCAAAGAAAAACTCTTGGAAACAGTGGAAAACGTGTTATCATCTTTGTTCGGACGTATTTTTGTTTTATTATATAGGCCATGAAGGTGACAACCTTCATGGTATTGAGCTTTCACACGGAATGGTTGCTACCCCTGGTGGAGGGGGTGTTTTGATAGAAATAATTGTTCACTTCTAAAAGAAAAGTCCGCGAAGCAACATGCTTAGTAAATAACCATTAAATATTTCTTCTTTCATTATAACTTAGTAACAAATCAGTGATTGTAATTTGAACTGCAACAAATACACAATATACAAACAAATCAGTGTTTAATACAGTCCACAGCTACAAGGGTTAAATTATAACCCAACAACCTGAGTTAATCGAAGGAGGAGTTTTAATAAATTCTATAAGTACGTAACATAATTACAATCTTATCATCCGACAACTTATAAATCCGACAAAACCAGCATTTGCAAAAAAGGATTGCTATTTTCACAACTCCACTATTTGATTGGTGTTGGTGATCCATTCTTGTATGTTGTCAAAGGCACATTAGACCAAATTCCATTTCCATTCCCAGCTCTGTGTTTAATCCACCTCCGTGTTTAATTCATCGTCAGTACTGCCATCGTCGTCTTTTAAATCGCTGTTTATTTTCTTTTTAACAACCTACGTTCGTATAGAATCTTTTAGATCGGCTCGCTGACTTCTGCTGATGGTGGGGATCTGCCGGTTATATTAGTACATTTCATGTGCAAGTTATTTTCAAGCATTACGACATTCAGTTGATTTGATGATGGTGTGAGATATAGAGACAGTGGTGTATAGTTTATGCTTGTCATTTGTTAATTTGTTAGTTAAAGTGGTTGAAAGGTTGATGAAAATTAGTGAATTTGTTGAGGTAAGAGTTAGGTAAAGATGCAAGTGTGAGTGCAATGGATGATTGCCAATATT